GAAGCTCCCGTTCCACCACATTCCAAAGATGCTCTATTGGGTTGAGATCTGGTGACTGTGGGGGCCATTTTAGTACAGTGAACTCATTGTCATGTTCAAGAAACCAATTTGAAATGATTCGAGCTTTGTGACATGGTGCATTATCCTGCTGGAAGTAGCCATCAGAGGATGGGTACATGGTGGCCATAAAGGGATGGACATGGTCAGAAACAATGCTCAGGTAGGCCGTGGCATTTAAACGATGCCCAATTGGCACTAAGGGGCCTAAAGTGTGCCAAGAAAACATCCCCCACACCATTACACCACCACCACCAGCCTGCACAGTGGTAACAAGGCATGATGGATCCATGTTCTCATTCTGTTTACGCCAAATTTTGACTCTACCATCTGAATGTCTCAACAGAAATCGAGACTCATCAGACCAGGCAACATTTTTCCAGTCTTCAACTGTCCAATTTTGGTGAGCTCTTGCAAATTGTAGCCTCTTTTTCCTATTTGTAGTGGAGATGAGTGGTACCCGGTGGGGTCTTCTGCTGTTGTAGCCCATCCGCCTCAAGGTTGTGCGTGTTGTGGCTTCACAAATGCTTTGCTGCATACCTCGGTTGTAACGAGTGGTTATTTCAGTCAAAGTTGCTCTTCTATAAGCTTGAATCAGTCGGCCCATTCTCCTCTGACCTCTTGCATCAACAAGGCATTTTCGCCCACAGGACTGCCGCATACTGGATGTTTTTCCCTTTTCACACCATTCTTTGTAAACCCTAGAAATGGTTGTGCGTGAAAATCCCAGTAATTGTGAATTCCAATTGTGAAATACTCAGACCGGCCCGTCTGGCACCAACAACCATGCCACGCTCAAAATTGCTTAAATCACCTTTCTTTCCCATTCTGACATTCAGTTTGGAGTTCCGGAGATTGTCTTGACCAGGACCACACCCCTAAATGCATTGAAGCAACTGCCATGTGATTGGTTGATTAGATAATTGCATTAATGAGAAATTGAACAGGTGTTCCTAATAATCCTTTAGGTGAGTGTATATGATGAACAGATTCATTTTGAGCTCGGATTCTTGGTTTTGAAACGTGAGTCAAGTGAAGGTCTTTTTAAAAAAATAAATTAGCTCCTGTTTAAAGGGTAAAATATTGGTCACTAATATCGGTTCAGAAATGTTATGTTAGTATATGATGTTGCTGCTGTTGTTGTAAAGTACTTCAAAATGATAAATACTACTATTATTAGCATTCAAATGTCTTAATGTTTCCAAGGTCTTAAAAATGCAGCCTAACCAACACCGCGGGATAGATTTTCTCACAGATTTTGAGTCAAGGGAAGTTCTTTTTTTTTTTTTAAAGCTGTTTAAAGAGTAAACTATTAGTTATTAATATTGGTCCAGAAATGTAATGTTGGACCGGTTTTTTTTTTTTTGGTACTGAATCCATTGTGTTTGTTTTTTTGCATTTTTGCTTTGTCCACCATAATTAGATGTTTTTTTCCCCCCACTGAGCTCAATACATTATGGGATTGCCTGTGTTTTTGAAAATCAACACAAATTTTGTTGGAACAGGTTTTGTGCCGGACGTATGTCAATGATGCCTCAAAATGCCTCTACATAGACCCTACATAGATATCTCACTAGGTTTTGGATCAGAGTCAGTATGTAAATTCACAAGTCGCACTTGACTTTTCAACAGCATGTCATGCTTCCTTGGGAGAAGCGAGAGAGAAACCGGCCCAAGCCCTGAAAAGAGTTCCTGTCCACTCCCCAACCGCACAGCCCACACACTAAGCCTTTGGAAAGAGAGAGGAACTGTGAGTGGGAAGTGTTGCTGGTGTAGGCGCAGGGATGAGAGTGTGGAACAGGGATGCTTCTGAGGATATGTAATGGCAGGTGTCTGCTGAAGCACGCCCGCCAATAATGTCTTCAGTGAGGCAAACTCTGGCGAAGTCACCCGCTATTTCAGACACTATTCTTAGGTCTGTTCCTCACAATTGGGCTTGAAACTTTAGACCACAGTATTCAGTGCTGGACAATGCTCAGAGCGATCACCCTCCTTCAGATCTCTAGGCTCATTCTTACCCTACGCTGACATCATGCGAGCAGCTCTGGGCTCATTGCCTGAGTTTCTGCTTTTTAATGTCGATGGGCCAGACCTAGAACACATCTGAATGCAGGCGAGAGTTTCATAGGGCCAGCTAGAGTCCAAATGACCCGCTTTGTGCAAGTGATGTTACCAAGAGGTACATGTAAAGCCTGGGACACACCAAGCCGACATCAAAGAACTAGCTGCGATGAAAGCTGACAGTGTTGTCACCTCTCCTTGGCTGCGTCTCGGCCAAAAAGCTGCACTTGAACACACCTAAAGGACTAAAGGTCAGGTGACTGTCAGCTAGCATGTGCGCTCTGCGTCTGTGTGCAAGGAAATATCTGTCTATATCAGCAGGGTATCAATAATAGTCTATTTTTGTCATTCAAAAAGGGAAACCAAAACTAGGGCTGCATACAAAACCGCAAACAAAGCAGCGCTTGCTTACCATTTTGAATATCAATCACGCTGATCACTTTTTTCATTCTAGTCGGCTCATGTTATTATGAAAATATTCATGCATTCAATTGCTCAGGTAAGATGTTGTAAATTATAACAGCCTTCTGTCTTGACTTCTTTGCTCGCTTTCATCACTTTCACTTTTATTCTCGTGCACTGACTCGTTCGCGAAGTTGAACATCCAATCAGAGTTCTCTCTCTCTCGATTCAACATGCTGAATCGGCTCAAAAAACCTGATGGCGTCAGACTAGAGCCAACGGTGCGGAAGATTAAACCGAAAAACGAAGCCGACCAACTCTCAAAAACAGCCTGACGTCTGGCATAGTGTCCAGGGGCCTCATTTATAAACGTTGCGTACGCACAAAAGAAGGCGTACGCCGCTCTCTACGCAATAATTGGTATTTATAAAAAGCAAACTTGACGGTAAAATGTGCGGTCCTTCACGCAAGCTCTGACCCAGCCGTACGCACAAAAACGGGTGAAATGAGAAATGGCGACACCGTCGGCAGATGGAAGAAACACGTGAAAGTGTGTGAAACTGTAGACCGTTGTGTAAAATAAATGGCAATACTGCCTCTCATAAATAACACGAAGACTTAAAGCAAGTATTACAATTAACAGCCTACACGAACACCCGTTTGATCGATCTGCAACAGAAATGCAAATTAACACATATTTGCAAAAAGAAAAGTGAAATATGTTCTGCAATAATATTGGCATGTTATACAATTCATCCTCATACATAAGATGGTAAACAGAATGAAATGTACAAAACTGATATTCCCGCCAATGTGTCCGTCTGGCGGAGCAGATATAGCTAGATAGCTAGTCAGTCAGATAGATAGATAATTAGGGAGAGATAGATAGATAAATAGATAGATGTATTATTTGTCCACTGGGGAAAGTTGTTTTCATAGTAAAAATATCTTCATCAGCTACGGAATCATGGTAGGCCTATTCATGCAGGTATTTCATGCATATGCCTTTAGTTTGTTTTATTTTTGATAAAATAACGTATGACTTATGTCTCAACCATTCAGAAAGCTGCAAGAAATTACATTTGCGCTGAACTATTTCCCATTTCCAAGTAGATTATAACCGACATCTGTAGCTTGTCATTTCTTTTTTATTTCGGCCACAGTCCGAGGTTGTGAGGCTACAGCATACGGCGTCTGCAACCTTTTGCCACTCAAGTGCCTTTTTGGCATTAGTAGGCTAATGCCCACACTGTGCCCTCCAAACAACATTTTTTCTCCTCTTTTCCACCTCGCCAACGATAACTTCTACTTCACATTGAGTGAAGTTACGTTTTTTTGATTACCTCTCTATGTTTGCCATGATTTCGCAATCGATGAATATTAACTTGTGGGCGTTTCACGGACTATTTATGGGCAACTATGGGCGTGAAATGAAGCCGCAAAAGCTGCGCTACATTTAGAATTGATTGTGATTTATTAAGGGAAAAATGCGTAGGATGTGCGTGCGCACGGTTTTATAAATCCAAATATTTCTGTGCGTACGCACGTCCTATGTTTCATCCGTACGCCACTTCTGACGCAAATCCTACGCAAAGTTTTATAAATGAGGCCCCTGGCCTCAACTTATGTTAAAAATAATTATTTACTCATTTCGTTCCATTTCGGTTTTTTTTTTTTTGCAGAAGAATGCAGGATTCAAATCATTTACTCACCCTCATGCCATTCCAAATCTGTATGGTTTTCTTTCTTCTGTGCAACACAAAAGAAGATATTCTGAAAATGTCCTTTTTTCCCATATAATGAAAGTAATTTTTGGGTAAACTCTACTTTTAAATAAGGATAAAAGTCTGCTTTTGTTATTAGTAGTTCACTTGTGATTTGCCAGGCATGGTTTGACTTAAAAGGCACATATCTCTTCACAGGCCTCTGTGCCTATCCGAATCAGGAGCTGTCTTTAATCCCAGCCTTTAACTTTCTTTCTCTGCCATGCTTTGATGCACTGCCAGGACACTGATCCAGGGTTTGATTTTATTGACTAAAAAGATTGCTTGCGGTCTTTGACCTGAGAACAATAATACAAATTTCTATAAATAATATGTCAATTTGTTAAGCAACATCTAACCTGATAGAGTTGTGCAGCATTCAGAATGTAATTTCTGATTTTTTTACGTAATATATTTCACTTTTCATTATTAATTACATACAGTGTATGTGTGTGTGTGTGTGTGTGTGTGTATATATATATATATACACACAATATTGCATTGTTAGAGAGAGAGAGAGAGAGAGAGAGAGAGAGAGAGAGAGAGAGAGAGAGAGACAGAGAGACAGAGAGACAGAGAGACAGAGAGACAGAGAGAGAGAGAGAGAGAGAGAGAGAGAGAGAGAGAGAGAGAGAGAGAGACAGAGAGACAGAGAGACAGAGAGAGAGAGATTCTGAATTTTGCCCAAATCCTGTAACCTACTCTTCCCTCCTTCAGGAGAAGTAAATAGCACACGCTCCCCTCTGATGAAGAAGACCAGCAAAGAAAACAACTACCAACACTACAAGGAAATGGCTGTGAAGCAGCATCACAACAGTAAGAGGAACAGGATGTTCAGCCCCCAGGATGATCTCAAAACGCTTCTCCCCAAACAGGTGAGTGTCCCTCTGTGAAGAAGTCACAGCACTCTTGAGTACTGACGAACACTAAAGCGAGTCATATGAAACTAAGGGCCTTTAGATTAACACAGACAATGATGGACCGATTGAAATAAAGATCTGTATTCACCTTGAATGTCATTGTGTTCAGTACGGCAGTGCCCTCTTCTGGTTATCAGACTAATACACCACATACACAACAGTATGGGCTTACACAATACACACACACACACGTTTACGTAGCTATCTAAATGGGGACATTCCATTGATGTAATGGTTTTCATACTGTACAAACTGTATATTCTATCCCCTTACACTAACCCTACCCCTAAACATACCCATCACACAAAACTTTATGCATTTTTACAATTAAAAAAAAACTTTTAAGTACTTTATTTTTATACCAGATTTACAAATGAGGACATTCCTAAAGGGAGCTTTTTGGAGATTTTGTCAGGTTTTGGTCACTTCTGGGTACAAATTTGTCCCCAAAATATAGTTAAGTAGGTACACACACACACACACACACACACACACACACACACACACACACACACACACACACACACACACACACACACACACACACTGTCTCTCACTATGGCATAGATACGCTCTTTTCTGTATCAGCTGAACATGAATTATCCTAACACAGTTTTCTGGGGTTCAGATTTACGGTATGTCCTTTGTACAACCCTCTAAATTTGATGTCGCTATAATTCTGTGGTCTGAGGTTGTTTGTCAATGTATAATTTATTGCTCCAGTATGTTATTTTCATGATTGGAACTGTGCAAAAACAGCTGTAAGCTGTTTTTCGAGTGTTTTTCATATCAAGGCTGTTTCTGGTGCCACTTTTGCTATGTTTTCAGTTGAAAACATATGATAATTTCCTTAGTTACCTAATTAACCAGCGATTTCTGATGTCTAAAACACTACCCGGTGATAGCAAACAGTCACAATCGGATTGCCAAGACAGAACAAACGGCTCCCGCCTCTGCTGAAACAAGGAATGGGCCAGTGCTTGTCGAATTTGGCCATCACACAAATCCACTGAGTTAATTAACTTTTCTTGGAATTGTACCATGCTTTACCTGGACCCTTAAATCCTTAGCCAAGTGACCACTACAACAGGACCTCACCCCAATCAGCATCTCTATCAGGCATCATCTACTGCTCTTAGCCAATAGACACATTTTCTTGCTAATTTACTTTAGTTGGAAAGTCGTTTTTCTTTTTTCATACCTTTTTAGGCAGTTGTGGGCTAATGGTTAGAGAGTCAGACTTGTAACCAGAAGTTCATGGGTTCAATTCTCAATACCGGCAGGAAACGACTGAGGTGCCCTTGAGCAAGGCATCTAACCCCCAATTGCTCCCCGGGCGCCGCAGTGAATGGCTGCCCACTGCTCCGGGTGTGTGTGTCCACGGTTTGCAGTGTGTGTGTGTTCACTGTTCCTAATCTGTGTGTACTAACTTGGGTGGGTTAAATGCAGAGGACAAATTCCAAGTATGGGTTCCCATACTTGGCCTTCACTTGACTTGACTTGACTTCAAAAAAATGTTTTAAGTAAAACTTGCTGAAGTAAATGGTAGGTCTGTTAGTTTTCGTAATTTTCCAAATGCGATTTAAAATCGGCATTGACAGGTATGACACAGTGTCAATTGCCAGTTGGCTGGTAACATTTTTATGAATTCTAACAATGCAATATTGTGTGAACAACGCTCAAGACAGTTGAAGGACCAGCACTGAAAGTTTAAGCCTTGCCAATTTAAATATTCGACCGCAAGAAGACGCGAAAGGGAACTCAATTCATTACTGGTGCCTGCATTTTGAAGTTTTCTGTGCGCAAACATCCGAAGTGCGCTCAGAAAGTCACGTCTCAGACAGCGTGCAAAAACTGAATTGAGCTCTCTTTCACATCTTCTTGCGCTTGAACAGACAAATTATGTTAAAACACCTGACAAGTATGCTCGTATACATAGTTATGACTTAAGTTTTTGTAAATAATTGAGAAAGAAAACGCATGTGTATTCAGTTAGGATATATTGGATCTGTGCATTAGCTCTTAAAGTGACAGCAGCCTAATAGTCCTTCTGTTAATGTTAATCAAACAACAAAAGGCTAATAAAATCACTCTCTGCTCTAGATTAAATAATTTGTAACATTTATTAGGATTAATCTGTTTCGTGGCTGGTAAAAACAAATATTTGTGGCCAGTACATTTTCTGAAGTCACCGGCCATTTGCAGGTGTGGCAAAAATGTAGTTTTACGCCCTGGTTTTGCATGACAACTTATTTAGATCGAGCTTCCCCATTTTACATTGTCATATTAGCATATCCTCACTATTTAAAGGACGCCTTAAGCGCATTGATGAAAACAGCCCTATGTCCACTCATATTTTCGTATTCTATTGTGCAAGAAATAGTTTGGGAAAAGACAATCGATGTGACCATCAACAAACAACAGCTGAGACAACATTTATCTGTACTATGAAGCACTCTGGTTCTGGTTTTGCTGACCTGAAAGCTATAGTAACTACAATAAAAACGGCTAAATGATATGTTGATAAAGCAAATGGATGTTGGAAAGTACTAAAATAAGGTAGATGCAATAAAAAGAAGAAGCCAAGGCAATAAAAATTCAAACCAGTGATAATGGTAGGGTAATAAAAGCCAAACCGAATAAACAACTTTTCTGTGGGGGTCATAAATCAGTAGTGTAACCATTACATATCCCAATGAAAAGCAGACATTCAAGGAGAATGTCAGGGTGACGGCATGTTCGATGACAGCAGGGGACTGTTCACTGCTTTGTGATGGAACACTTTTCATCCGCACGGTACGGATAAGATCCCTGGCAGGCCCTCTTCCCCCAGTGCCCTCTTATCCCGGGCCAAGCAGGGAGCAGCCATCATGAGAGATACAGGGAAAAAGAGAAGGAACGGGAGACAAGAATGGTCTTTGATGCTGATGCCTGTCCTTGTTGAGAGGTGGGGAGGTAGAACCAGGCCAGAAAATTAGCTGGAGTACGAGATTAATATCAGCCACATAAATGTTTCATGAAGCCGCCGGCTTGCTGTTTATCTCACTCTCCTTATATGAGTGTTTCTTCGAGAATTTTTATTAAAACTAACTCTTTTTTTTTTATATGAAGGTCAAATGAACTCTGTCCCTTCATCACATGTTTGCTACTTTGATAGTTATTTTTGTGAATGCCTGTTATGTTAATATTTTATTATATCATAAAAAATATGAATTATAGTTTTTAAACTAGAATCATTTAAATAGAGTGAAATCATCATAAACCATTTCAATATGAATTGCTTGAAAATGATAAAGATTGTAAAGATGTAATGTGTGAAGAAAACTTTTAATCAAGGTAAATATCACACATCAACAGCATATTCTTTTTTACATTTACATTTGTTTTACGACTTACAAAGGAGATTTCTGATGTCTAAAACACTGCCCGGTAATAGCATAAACTCACAATTTTTTTTTTTTTTTGCATCTCAAGCTGTAATCTTGTGCATTTAATATAAAAAGTGTGAACATATTACTTAATTGTGTGTATTTAGGATACATACAATGCTAACTATGAAATTAGCCTTGGCAAGACAAAAGAGATTGCCATTTTATTCCAAAAACGTCATTTTCATCATAGAATGCTATTAAACAATTTGAGATGTGGTGGAAATGTTAAATTAGAAAATATATGAAAATGACAGAGTTGCTCTGTATTTTTGTATGTCCATTTCTGGACATTGTTAGTATACAAATTAAACTAGTGAGAGTCTAAAAAAGTGTTTTAGGCTGTTTTAAGAGTTAAAGAAACACTCAAATATATGTTTGTATGTCTGTGTTGTCTTACAGAGCCAGTGTCAGCAGGAGCTGGATAAAGTGTTAGAGAACATCTCCCGAATGACGTTCCATGACAACAAGGGGCCTCTGGAAAATCTGTATGACCTGAAGTTTCCCAACTGTGACAAGACAGGACAGTACAACCTTAAGCAGGTGAGATGATCTACACTTACCTCAATATTTCGAAGACAGTGGTAGCTTGTCAATGCCCAATTTTAATATACCAATTGAAATGCATCAGATAAGTTACTATGTACATTTACATTTATGCATTTGGCAGACGCTTTTATCCAAAGCGACTTGCATTGCATTCCAAGGTACACATTTACATTCTTATTATTTACATGCTTTCCCTGGGAATCAAACCCATGACCTTGGCGTTGCAAGCGCCAACGCTCTACTGTTTGAGCTACAGGAAAGCTGTAAATGAAATTAAAGTAGTTTATGAAGTCTTTTTGTCCTTTGTCAGTTTGAAATGTTTTACAGGTCACCTGGTACATTGGCCAGTAGATTAGAACAACACGTACCCACATTTGAATGGCGGCGGGTGTTAATTTCACTATAGGGCAATAGGAATATGAGACATTGCACAACCTTTCAATCTGCAGCAGCCTGCTGTTTTATTATCCAATTCCACATGGAAGGTTCAATAATGACACAAAGATGGAGCCAACGAGAAACTGTGTATAAAACATTCCCACATTCTCTACAGAAGGCTGTTTTATCAAAGCCAAGGCAACCGTATCTGAGCTGAGAGTTACAAGCTAATGAAAATTTTGTTGAATGACTAACCTGTCTGTGGGGTGGCTTGCCCTTCTTTGTAGTGACGTTCTCAGAGGAAAGAGAATCACTAATGAGAACTCTTTTGTAATCTCTTTTATATCTTAATGACCTCTCTTACACATCCCTTACAGCCTGATGAGATAAAATGAGAAGCAAATAGATGGATACTGTTGAAGGTTCTTAGGTTCTTGAGAAAAAATGTCATACCAAATGAGATGCCAAAGTCTGCTATTAAAAGTGATGAACAAATGATCTGATCCACCTACCTACATACATACATTATTTAGCTCTAACTCTTAATGTATACTGTATAGTTACCATAGAGTTTATATATCTATATATTTATACATACACACTCATACACACACACACACACACACACCAACCCGATCTCACGGCAATTCTTACGAATTTTACGAGGTGGCTAAATCGTTCAAATTCATGCGACCTCACTCGTACGAATTCATGCGATTTTTGCTAAATCGTACATATTTTACGAGTTGCTCAATTCGGATGAATTCGTACGAATTACCTACTCCTTACCCCGCTCCTAAACCGACCCATCACTGGGTTTAGACATTTCGTACGAATTCGTACGAGTGAGGTCGTACAAATTAGCCTTTTACTAGCCTAGCTTTTACTGGTCGTGAGAAGGCGTTGACACACACACAAATATATATATATATATATATATATATATACAAAGCTATTGTTTTGTCTATTGTCTAGGCTCTTTTTTATATCATTTTAATTGTATATAATATAATTTTATATTATGTTTTTTTATAATTGGCTTTTATGTATACTTTGCAATATGTATGCAGTTATTGATTAGTTATTCAGCATGTCATGTACTTTATTAGATTACAATTTTAATCTACTGACAGCCCAAACAAAGGAATTTTAAGAGAAACATTTTGTAGACAAAGTTGACATTTTGCTGACAGAGTTGATAACTGAGAACTTTGTGAGTTAACAATTATGGTATAATATTTCTATGTCCTGACATAACACGTTGCAGCTTAAACCAGGACAAACATGTCCCAGAGATGTAAATTGGTATGTTGTTTTGACATGCAAACCCTGTTCCCAGGGCTCAAAACAGTGTACCTCACCACACTTAATTGTTTTGTAATCATCCTGTTCCTCTTGCGATTACTGTAACTGTCAGTTTTTGTTCTTTGCCATTGGAGGACAAAATTGAGAATCTGTTTTTTGCCTATTTTGGGTCTCAGCGTCAGCTATGTCCAGTTCAATTATGACCTCATTTTGGGAGTGCTCAGTAGGGGTCAATGAGACGTGCTGGGCCAAATGAGGCGGGAGGGCTGTTTTGGGCCAGTGCCTCCACCCCGTACTCGCCCAAGAGCTTCATTAAGCCCCCAACACCCACCGTTTCCCCACCCCTCTCATCATCTTCCCTCTCTTGTATTCCAGTGCCACATGTCCAACCACGGACAGAGGGGCGAGTGTTGGTGCGTCAACCCCTACACTGGTGTCCAGATATCCTCGTCCCCCAAAGTGAGGGGGGACCCCAACTGCAGCCAATTCTATGGCGGTCCCGAGCTGGAACCGCCCACCGCCCAGCAGAAATAGACGCTCCATCAGGGAGATGCACCGGGTCACAAACAAGGATAGTTAAAAGCGAGTACAAGAGTGGTGTGCATGTGTGTAATTCTGTACATGTATGTGTGTGTATTTTTGAAATAGTATGATCTGCATTGTCAATAGGAGTGTGGAAAGTCACATGCCAGCAAAGACAATTCAAGGACAGGTAGTTAAACTTCTCAAATCCAGATAACTGTACTCCAAATTTAACCCTGAGTTATTGTTTTTTTCTGCCTATTTATAGGCTCATCTGGTGCCTTTTAATCTTGTGACTGAATCTGGTTGCGGGGAGTCGCTTGTACAGCATTTGCAGCTGTTCGGTGTGAAGATGTGTCCGTTTAATTCTCTCTTTTGTTTTTGGAGACCCAATAAAAATGGTTGCGCATTTATAGCACCGTTGGTCACCAGAAACGGATTATAGAAACTGCAAATGAACAAAAGTAGGAGTTTGACTTCCCAAATTATGAAACCAAAAATTGTGACTCGTTGACAGAGAAAGCGGAGGGGTCGTGATTTGTTGCCTGATTTGAGAGGACCTGTGCTTGAGAGGCTGGAGGCCATTTTGACTACTTGAGTACCCGACTGATAAATCAACCTTGAGTACTCAAGTGCCGTTTGTAGATATGCATCAAACTGGCGTCTTTTCCGCATGAGTGTTGCATTAAGACCATGCATTCAAAACATTTTAAAAATGTGTTTCTAAACCACTACTTTTGTTTCCATTCAGTTGCCTCGGGCTGAAAGTCACCATGTACGCAAGTTGCTAAGCGGGGTCACCGCAAATCGCCATCCCTCTAACCAATCAGAGTGCGAAGTACTAAAGGCCTAAAATGTGACAGAAACAAAGGAGAAATTGAAAAAGAGGCTCCATTTTGGCACATATTACTGAACTTCAATCAGCATCATAGGTTTTGAAGTTCACGCAATTAAGTGTATTTTCATAATCGATAATTGCTGTCGCTTCCAGGTACTCAATATCTGGCCATCCCTGCTCCTGGCGGCTGATAGACTTCTGTTCTCATGGTCTTTCGAACATGTGCTAGAATGCAGGTGGTGTATGTGTGTGTTTGTAGAGTGGGGATCAGAGTTTACTAATGATGTGCTGACAGAGGGCTTGATTTGGACACAGGGCTGACATTGACAAATGTGATATAAAGTGGGATAAGTGCCTATAAATAAACACAGGACTGCCTGCAGTGCTAGTGGGCTGTGCCTCACTTTGCTTCACTCTCGTCTGCAGAGGGTTGTATTTTGCCCAGTGTAATGTTTGAATGTGGAGTTGAAGAGTTCTCTGAAGGAATGTGAAAAAACATAATTTTTTTACTCTTTGGATAGCCCAATGCAACACATTTGCAAAAGCTTGAAGTTAGTGAAAGTATATGATTTATTCTTGGGTCACAATTGTAACCTGTGGGGAACTGCAGGGTTAGGCTCAGTTGGTCCAATAGAAAATTGCAAACAATAAAGTAACATACAATTGTGTACAAAAGTCTGAACCTTGACCCTATCCAATTCAAAATCTAATTAAAATCTGAAAAAAATGAATGTTTTAGGATTCTGGGGTGAACAAATAAGTGATTTGATTAAAAAAACAGTATAAAACTATTGTGAAATATTATTACAATTTAAAATAACGGTTTTCCATTTTAATATATTATAAATGAATTATTTCTGTGATGGACAAGCTGAATTTTACTTGTTTTTATTTACGCCATTACACCAGTCGTCAGTGTCACATGATCCTTCAGAAATCATTCTAATATGCTGATTTGCTGCTCAATAATCATTCATTATTATCAATGTTGAAAACAGTTGTGCTGCTTAATATGTTTCTGGAAACCGTGATACGTTTTTTTCAGACTTATTTGATGAATAAAAAGTAAAAACAAACAAAACAAAAAATGCATTTATTTAAAATTGAAATCTTGTCACTTTTCATCAATATAATGCATCCTCGCTGAATAAAAGTATCATATTTCTTTAAAAAAAAAAAAATCTTAATGACCCCAAGCTTTTTTCAAATCAAAACTAAATGGATAGGGGCAGTGGGATTTAATGGATTAAATTGCTCTGTTAGCAGGTGTGATCTGTAACAGGCTGTTCACACGAACAGTGGTTTTATTGCTGGAGGTCCCCAGATCAATGATTGTCCAGGACGTTCCTACTGCTGCATGTTCGGACGTCATTGGTGGCCTGTGTAAATAGCCATAGCTTTTGAAAATCTGATCACAAATTAAACAAGTATCCACGTGGTACTTGTCAATGTAAAACATTGTCAATGTAGCCTCGCATCAGACTTTTGTGTGCCACTGTATGTGACCTTATTGTCATGTCGCTGGAAACTGGCATCGTTATCAATGTGAACGACATTTAAGGGTTGTTAAAGGGCGGCAGCTGTAACGTCCCTTGATTAAGTTATATTTTCATTTAGTACCCATATCTCTTACTCATTTTATCTCTTCCCCATCTGTCTCTCTCTTTCCCATCATCTCCCTTGCTGTGAGAGTTGAATTGAACAGCTCAATCCAGAAATAGAAGTCGATTGCGCTTTAGCATTGATCCTGACGTGTTAGACAGTGTTCAGCCCAGCGTTTGCTTTTGTAGCTTAGTCTTTATGATATATTAACACATTAACCTCCAGTAACTTTCACAGTATTACCACATCTCGCTCGCCTTTAGTAGTAGCTTACATGTATTTACTTTAACTAGTTAGCATTGTGCTAACTACCGCTACAGACTGCCCCTCGTGTGATTTTGGTGCCTCACAGATAGATTTGCTGAGACACGGGTTACGAGTTTTCCGTTTTGGTTTGTTTCCAAAATAGATTGCTGCCAACCCTCCGGTGGTACAGTAAATTTTTACGGTAGCTCGAGTTTGGCCTAGTTTGAAAACAGTGCGAAACCAATCCCTGTGGTTTTCGGGCATATTGATTTGCCAGAGCGGTTGCAATGGGATGGAAGTGTTCATGTATGTGTGTGTGTTTGTGTGTACTTGTGTGAACGTTTCGATGCTGTGCCATGCCTGGAGCCAGTGTGACGGTGGGAAGGATTGCTTGCCATCTGGTGCAGTGTAAAACTGTCAGAGCCGGTCTCTGCATTTGGAGAGTCTTACACAAATGACAGGGGGAATTTCTTGAGCAAATCCAAAGCCATGTACCATGCCAGCATCTCACGTGTTTTTCTTTTTCTGTATTTCATTGAGTATCCTGTGTGTCACGAGATGCGGTGGTTTTAAATAACGTACATTACTCAAAGCATGCTCTTTGTGTCCACTGTCATGCGAATGGTGCATGGAACTGAGTTTTCTGTACAACTGCAATGGAAAAAGCCATAAATGCATGCAAAAATAGACATTGGTTTTAAATTCTTGTAATAAAATCCAGCATGATTAAATGTATTATCTTTCAGACACATGATTCATTTTTTTTAATGATTTCTTTGTTGGGTTTTGAGTTGTCTTGTTCACGTTTTCCATGCACATGAATCATAAGCCCGTCCTGAAGTGTTTTTTTGTTTTTTTTTAAGTGGTGATTACCTTTTCAGGGTTCCCATGGTCATAAAGCATTCAATAATATTATGGAATTTTAAATTGGTGATTTCCAAGCATGAAAAGGCCAAGGAATGAAAAAGAAGTCAAGATCTTGGTTTGACTATGCAAGAGTCAAGCACTCTGTAAAGTCGACTCCAGCACATCCCAAATACTATGAAATCATATTTTTTTTAATATATATTTAAAATTAATTTGTATTTATAGAATTAGACCACAAATTAAAATGATTCGAAAACGTTATTATGGTAGACAAGAAATTCATTGAATTGATGTTACTACAGTGTTTTATGTCTTTGATTTTTTAAATGTATAATTATATAGATATACAATATTTTTTTCAGCTGGAAATTGATGTAAGTAAAATGATTTTTTTAAAGAGCTTTATTCAGTAAAAGCAAGCAAATGGAAAAGGTTTGGAAATTCATTGGCCAGATTATCCTTGTGATGACTGTGAGTATTATCAAGGTCATTGTCTCTCTATGTTTATTTATTTTTATCTCTTCTTTTCATTTTATCTGTATAAACTTATGTACTTTGGCAGGGCACATGATTTCAGTTCTATTTGGTCTACGGAGAGATTGTAAGGTAAGAGATCCACCTTAAGCTTCCCCTGGTGTAGTTTATCTGCGTTTATCACATCTGTGCTGGCATTCCTTCTTTAAAACAGAAAGCAGAATGTGAATCTCAAAAATATCACAGGAGCGAACAGCAGCGGTGCGCCTCACGCAGGGACCGGCCGAGGATGAAAAGCTAAACTCTAATCATTGTGTTCTCAGGCGAAAGAGCGGTGTGGAGAGCCACATGTTGTGATAAGATGCAGCCATCTATAGTTGTTCAACTAATTGCGCGATAAAAGGGACGTGAGTGCTTTGAAGTCTAAAACGCAGTTGTCAGTTTCTTTGAAGGCTATAGTAATTGTCATGTTCACTGCCCCACAAATCAAATCGCCGACACGTGTTCCTTCTCCGGGTCTGCTTCGTTTCCCCATCCTTGATCTGTCTCTTACAAACGCTGCGGACAAAGTCCTGATCCATCACATCTGGAATCCGTAAACCTGAGTTATCTCAGGAAGAACTTCACCTGTATGTCTGCATTAGCCATTACCTTGAGGCGACTAAAGTCTCATTAGACCCCAAACACTATCCAGTACTTATTTCACACCATATATTTAAATAAAATCCACATATTTTGTAATTTTGCCAGCCATTTGCATAGAAGCAGCGCCGCTGCTAGAGGTTTGGCTCTGAACTCACAAGAAAACATGTTAGAAATGCCCACTTAATCCATTTATCAACAATGTTTTGCAATATAGGCTCTTATCAGTGGCACTTTTGCCTCTTTGGCTTGATGCTCGAGTCCAAGCAGTCATGAAATGTGCTTACTTGCCCTGGAGCTTTGTGATAAAACATGGCTCCACATAATCTATCCGTACTGTTGGTTTCCCCACTTATTTGAATGGAGAAGTTGGGACTCCTTTCTGTCGGTCAGAGATCCCCCCTTGATGTTGGGGCTCTTGGTAAATGACTTCCTTGTTCCTGAGCAATCTCTTTGACTTCTGTGGAAAGCCAGGTGCCTTGCCTCTGGGCAGAGTTTAAATGCAGCAAGTCTTCACCCAAAATAAACCTGTATCCTGTAACGCTCTGTTCCTCTGGGCTCCTCTGTTAATCACCCAAATCCTGGTTCAACAATGAAGACAATTGAATTAGCAGATGAACAATATCTGCATGTGTCACAGATTCCCGATGGATTGGTGTGACTCTGTGTGTGTATTATACTGTATATATAGGGGTGTAACAATAGTGTCACAATGTATCGCAATACAAAAATGCATCAATATGTATCGTGGATATAGTGACAATATGTATTGTGTATAATTCACCCAAAATCCGTGTGAGAAGAAAATTC